ATCTTCTCGAGGAACGAAGAGGAAAAAAGAGGCTTTATCGGCATTTTCGCGTCACTGGGCCTCGAGATATGAGAACCAGCTAGAGAAAAATTGTGCTATTGCTGCTGGTCTCGGGAGCTTCTATCCTGTCCTTCGACTTCTCCTCCCAAGTTCTGACTATAGCCGGCCAGCCTATGGTATCGGTCAGTCTACCATGTCAAAAATCTGCGTGAAAGCATTTGGTCTTGCACCCAAGGGCTTGAGCGCACGAACTCTACTGCATTTTAACAACCCCAAACTTTCTGGGAATAAAGATGGCCGCGACTTAGCAGACTGCGTTTTCTCAGTCCTAGCTGATCACTGCGAAGTTGAAAGTGACCTGACAATCTCTGTGAGTCAGTTGATAACTTTACTAATACTTGTACCTGCTAAACGAGGCATACGCCAACACCTTACAAAATGTCTCACTTATTTTGGAATAATATTATTACTAACTACAATCGACCAAATTTCATGTGATCTGTACGGTTTGTCTACAAAGTTTTCACCAGTTGCTTAACCGAAACAAAGTAAGAACGATTACGGCGGTGAACTGTGATGCATGACGTTTAAGTGAATAATATATACGCCTGAACCACAAACCCGCATATCCCCGTCGCCATCCCCGAACAGTCCGTGGATTGTGCTAGCATAGTTTGTTGATTGTGGACTAAATGCTTTTATTCGGCGGCCACTGTAATTACTTTAAGGAAATAGCGGCGAGATAGCTAGCCTTGTCATTATGCGAAACTGACAATTGAACTGTTAAAAAAAATTAACAGTGATACTCATGCAGTTGTTTCGCCGCCTTTATCTTGTTATAGGCAATATCAAGACCTGCATGACTACTTCGAGTTTATTCCTCAGTTGATCTTCTCTAAAAAACCCTTCTGTTGTAGCAAAATATTTAGTGTAAGGAGGAATTTCGAACGCTAAGCTACGGTATCTCAATGCGAACACTGAGTCATGCACAAGTCCACAGCTTTTCAATATTTCATCTGGATACCATTATACATAATGGTACTCTAGTTCTAAATTATGTGATCCCACAACGAACCGATGTTGACCATTCATATTTCTCTAAGTCGATTATTATTTCGTACTTTCCAGCGGCTTCACGAACAACTGGATAACGTTGCCTATGCTTCTAATCAGGAGGAGAAATTGGCAATTTTAACTCCATTTATTCGTTCGCTTACTGCACTGGAACTCAAGTGGTTTGTTAGGATAGTCAGTCTGCGTGAATTACACTTGAGCTTGAGCACCAACACCGTGCTTGCCTGCCTTCACCCGGCCGCTCCGTCGATCTGGAATGTCACGCAGGTTGGTTTCTCCCTCCCATCGGCCGTCTCTTGTCTTCTCATGCTCCGTAACCTGTCTATTGCAATTTTGACTGCTGGTTTTATTTTCTGTTGTCGCGTATATACACTTCTATCTGTCACTCACAGGACCTTTGCACAGTCTGTCAGCGTATTGCAAACATGGACCCGACCCAAGCCGTGGATACAAACTCCTCGCTTTCGACTAACGGTCATAATGTGAACCTTAATGCTGCTTACCGCCCAATGCTGTGTGAACGGGCCAACAGCGCTCTCGAAGTATGCATCGCATATGAGAAAATCTTCAGTGGTATCGCTGATTATTATCTCTGTCTGGAAGCGAAATACGATGGCGAGCGAGTTCAAGTACGTCTCTGTTATTATAGTCTTTAATCTCTTAATAATATGAGCCCATTTCATATTTTTTATCCCATTCATTCATTTCTTCCATTTCCCTTGTTTTTTTCTCGCTTTCGCTCTCTTCATATTCTTTTCCTCGGTCCTCTGCGTCTTCCACCTTCATCCTGTTTGATGGCTCTATATTCGATTTGTCATTGTCTTCCCTTTTTACGAGGTCCTCTCTTTATTTTCAAGTTACACAAATCAGGCGACAAGTATCGCTATTGGTCTCGCAGTGGCAGAGAGTGGAGCTCTAGCTACGGGACTGAGGGTAACGGTTCAACAGGTACGCTCACCCCACGACTTCACGCTGCGGGCTTCTCTAACGACGTATCCGATTGCGTTCTTGACGGAGAAATGTTCGGTTTCGACACCTACACGGAAACTTTTGTCACCAAAGCCACTGGATTCGACGTAAAACGACCAGATGCCACTGATGGGTCGAATCTTTTTGCCAGTAAGGCTGAACTTGCTCACTCAGCCCGAAAGGCCGCTATTGTACCCTGCTATATCGTTTTCGACATACTTCATCTCAATGGTGAGGTAGGTACATTCTCAAACCTTGTACGATTTCAGAATATGCTTCCATACACACATCCACTGATTCAGCTGCATTCCACATTTGCTGTAGCTTCTGACGCATCTGCCTTTGCGACAACGCAAGGAAATTCTCCTCTCAATTTTCCCCACAACAGCAGTTAGTTCCGATATCTCGGCCAAGGTCGCAAGTTGTTATGAAACACAGGAGGCAGAACAAGAAATCCCACATGACCAACTATTTTCTCTATTTCCTATCGTGAAGGGTGCTCTATACTTAGGAGGATTCACCTTTATGACTCCCGATAAAGTAAGCACTTTTTAACACGAGGCCTTTTTCTTGAACAAGTTTCAGCTAGTCCGTCTGTCTATCTAATCTGTCTCCTTCACCTGAACAGTCGTATGGGCTTATATTCTTTCTGCTCCCTCTTATTACTTCATACATTTAACTACCAAGCTTAGTACGTTGGCAAAGAAATCACCCTTTTAAATTAGCGTTACCCTCGCCAACCCTGTTTTTAAAAGTATCCTCTGGCTAAAAACTGAAGTTAAATAAGTTACCAACTTAAAAAAATGTTGCTTAACCGTACTAGACCCGCTTGAATAAAATAAAACAGTCCATATTGTTGGCCAACTTGTAAGAAAGTGTGATGGAGGACATAGACAAGGAAAATTGTACGATTATAATCGTAGTAATCTGCATATTTTTTTTATTGAACTACAATTTAACAAACAGGTCCTCCATTTTAAATGGCTGTGTGCGGTATCTGCAACTGCGGTATGTTGACTATGTTGAGAAGCTACTAATGTCTGTAAATCCCTCTTGCGAATTTTGGTGCTCTGCACCTTTCGCCTTCCTTTCACTTGTAGCGAGTGGCGATAAAAGTAAAACTAATGATTGCAATTAACTCCGTTGGCATCAGAGGGCACCTCAACAACCTCCTAAAAAACAACCAAGAAAACTATATAACATTCCTGCGACTATCTTTAGGCAATCAAGGAGGCAGTCAGTTGGCACAGGTTATTCTCTTTGATAGCAAGGACTGTTTTACTGGGTGTCTCCTCCGTAAACGCGATGCAGGTCTTCGCTATAGATATAAGATATTCATAACCAAGTGCGATGTCTACATTCTCCTCGTAAATCCTGCTGATATTAAAGAAGTCAGCCGTTTTGTTTAGTTTTTTGTTAACCCTAGGATCGAATTTCTCGACTCTTTGACGTCTGGGTAAGCAACGGAGCCGAAGGTCTAGTTGCCAAGGCGACCACCGCACCTTACGTGCCCGGGGGTCGTCTTCGTTGTGGCTGGTGGAAATTAAAGCCGGACTACGTCCTTGGTCTAACCACAGACCTAGATTGCCTCATTGTGGGTGCCTACTTCGGCGTTGGCGGTGGCGGCGATGGTGGTCCCCCTTACAACGGCTACTTTCCGCAGTTTCTCTGCGCTGTCC